ATACAGAGAGAGCGTCTCGGCTCACCACAACCCGCAAAGCAAACATAATCGGGATTCACCAAATTTGTTCACTCCGCTCGGAGGTATTCACTTCAGAGTGCGGCGTTCAAAAACGGGCACAAAACAACTTTTCAGGACTCATTCACGTTCCAAATGGTTCCTGATAAGCTATTGGTACCTACGGCATTTGAACTAAAGCATGAATATCCTGTTCGTTAGCAATTTACCTTGCGAGAGAGGAATCTATTGTTAAGTGTTGCCCGCGTGGTTGTCTCAAATATACAGTTCTGGCAAAGAGCTACTCTTGTGGTTAAGTAGTCTAATGTATCTATTCATTTTTACCTGTTCGTTGAACTATCCCTTTTACAGGATCAAGCATAAACGTATGACCGGATATCCAAAACCAGGAAAGTATTCTTTGGTAAAGGGTGACCGCTATTCGGGTGTGTTCTATAGTTGGGGAGTACTATAATCGTTCTTCTAACACTTATAAGTGTATGCAGTGAATTCCGTGTTGGACGTAGCAAATGAGCGTGAGCTGAAAAGCTTTAAAGGGCTGTAGAACTATCCCTGGTTAGGTGATATATCATGTATACATAAAAAATGGAAAGTAGTCTAATCGGCTATCCATTGATCATCTGGATAGTACGCTTGTATTCCATCTGTAAGGTTCCGGGTTCGATCCACAGTTAGTTGGGTCGGTGGATTCGCACAGCGGATAAGGCCTGACCAAGTTGAAATAGCTATGCCGTCCTTCCTAGGTTTTCAGTTCACACTGTATTCGCTCTGTGCACAATGAAATACACACTCTACTCGAATTTTTTCTGATTGCTCCTTTTTCGTTTTCTAATGAAGGCTTTTCACATAAAAACTGCCGTTCTAGATGACCGCTGAGAGCGCTAGACAGTATTTTCGTTGAAAAATTCATTTCGTTTTATTTATTCTGTTCTATCTTTCTTCTAGTCTGTTGGTGAGTTTATCCTCACTCATCCCAACATCCATGTCAATCCTCGCGGGAATATTTACTCCATAAATGAGGGTTATGCCAATACTTGGGACGCTGCAATCACCGAATACATTCACGAAAAAAAATTCCCGAAGGTGAGTATGCATTGCCGGTTTTTACGAATGATCTATGAAAGTTGCAGTCTGCATCTTTATAGTAAAGTTATACATATTTCGATTGAAATCCGCACATTGAATTTTCAATGTTTATCCTGACGTTTCGATTAAAAGAGCCGTCACTAAGCGTGAATGATTAATACATCAGTGGGGTGGATTTTTGTACCTATATTTTGCACCCATCTATTTGTGTCACGTAGTATATATGCACACAATCCTTGACTGAAAATTCAGGTTTCCTCAACCTTATAAATGGAGGTATTTTGGTAAACACTCGATGAAATGTTTACATATCTGCTTTCTCTAGTGACAAACAAATTAGAATACCGCCTCGATGGCTGCTTTGATCGCTCATCTGGACTGTGACATGGTCAAGCTAGATCCAGATCTGTGACATCGCACTCGGTTTGTTGAAGTTAATAGGTGTCAAAGTCTACCACCGAGTTTTATTTTCACATATTTCGGAGCCGCCTTATGATGAAAACGTTCTTCACATATCTAAGTGAAAGCAACTAATGATTGGGTAAGCAGGCTTAGAATATGGTACACCAGCCCCGTTTGAAGAAGCAGTCCGCGCGAGGGATAGACATGCCATCTACGATAAGGATAGACGCATTGGTTAAAAAAACAACGGAGTAATTCGGAGAAACGGTCTTCCGAATGCCACTTTTAAGCACATTGAATTGTTTGAAGGTGTGACCAGTCACGCTATGCATTCCTTGTTCTAGTCACATAATTATATTTAGTTTTTACTGCATCTATCCATCTGAAGGATTCAAATCTAATCACTGTCACCAAAAAGTGGTCAGAAGTATTTTCTTCGCCCCATATTCTGCAAGTCATGTTCGAGGATCTTCCAAATTTCTAGGACCATTCCCTGATCACTTTTTGTTCTGTAACACAATTGTTAATCCATTTTCATCCATTTCTTTAACCGCTTATCGAAAGTTTAGCATGATTTTTTTCAGACTGGAAAGCCGTACTCGGCGCGGTACATTGGTTCCATGGTGGCGGACGTTCATAGAACCCTAGTCTACGGTGGTATCTTTCTTTATCCGGCCACAAAAACGTCCAAGTCAGGAAAGGTGAATATAAACTTTCTTGTTTGTGTTTGAACTGAAATATTTTTATCCTCCCTCGTTTAAACAGATTTTAGTCAAATTAGTTATTTTCAGTGTATTTTCCTTCGTAACCTGAGCTTTAAGTTCAAACACAGCAACTAACTGAAATTGGATCAGGATAAAGGTGCGACTTTCCTCTTAATCGAGTTTTCTAGAATGATGGGATATACTAATGGAGTGAATGGATAAAAGATCATCTATATAGATATATGCATATTTATACATACTGTCTAAATTGATTTCATGCAAGTAATGTACCAGATCGGTTTTCTTAGCCATTCGTATTTTTTCTGTATCCTTACTAGGTGCTGGTGACAGCAATATCACTCAGACAAACGTGACTTACTGCAGTGAAAAGTTCACACGTTTTTTTGTTCGCTAGGTGAAGTGAAAGACTTTTTTTGCACGACTTGCTCATCCACGCTGTTCATTGCTGAAGTAACCTCCAAGCAACAGACTATTTTCAGTTCCGTATTGAATTCGAATATTAGTAAGAGGAAGGTAACAAGATGTCGCGAGGTGCGTGATTCTTAATCCCTTTTATTAGTCACTAACTTAACACACATACACACACGGATCGTCACATGAGCGAAAGAATAGCGGGAAGTGCAACCTGTTGCTACAATACTGGGTTGATCCAGCTCAGCTCCCAACCTCAGTAAGAACTAACCAGCAAGAAGAGCACTGTTATAAACCATGTGTATACCATAATCACTGATTTTATGTTTTGTGCATTTTTAAATTGCAATTATGAGTGTGTTTGGGTTCGTGGTGCATAATGGAGTAGTGGACTTTTGGTATCCGATATTCAAAGTGACCAATATTTTGTTGTCATTCTCCTCAAAAATGACACAGCCACAAAGGAACGTTTTCCACAGATTTGCTGTGATGGTATCTGACCCCTTAGCCACCACACGCACGTCAATCAGTGACCAACAGGATTGCATCGTTATGTTGTCTCCTTCTACTGACGGTTCCTGCCATCAGGACACGATGACCACTAAAACATACCATAAAGAGTTCTCTATTTCACGCTGATAGGGCAATCTGAAGGACTACCAATATTCAAATATCATGGTACACTACTAAAGATAGTTTGGAGTAACGTGTGTGTGAAACTGATAGATTAGTTTTGTGGTATTTTGAGAAGGCTTTGGATATTATTCTGTAACAGGCACTCGTGCCATTTTGCATTTAATCATTGTGCCTCCACATGTGACAAAACTATCTTGTTTGTGAGCCGCGTTACGATCCATTCTGTACTTTGTAGTGAAAACAATAAAAACTAACTCCACTCAAGTGAAATAGAATCAGCCAAAAAGTATCTCGTCTATTAAGGACTATAATGGATGTTAGTAGCAGTTGTGGAACTGAAAACGGAAGAGGAAAGCATAGATCTCTGACAGTTTAAAAGGATAAAATGGCAATAAAAAGAGAAGATGCTTGTCCCTTGCCAGTATTGTTTTAGTGAGCCTTGCATTTTTGTCAAATAACATGCACCCTAGTAAACAAATCATTATAGCTTCTTCTAGGTTTTGGGGTTATCCAAGAAATAGGTGAGATTTATAAGGTGAGACTATCTTTTGACAAAGCTATGGTGTACATTATTGAACATGCCGTTTGTGATGACATGTTCACCTATGCAATCCTTAATTTGTTTCTCCGTACCTTTTCCAATGACACCGGGCTAACCGAACTGTAGATTTGTACCGCATCCCTGTGGCCACACTTGTGAATGGCCGCGACTGTCTCCTTTTTTCTGTCTCTTGAGCTCTAGTCCTCCCGTAAGAAAGCGTGGGTAACTTCTGAACTGGAGGGTAACTTTCAAGATCCTAACCATTCCTGTGTGGATTCTATCTTCCCCTGATACCTTATGTGGGTTTATTACTCTCAGAACGCGTGCAACCTCTTCATGGGAAAATTCTAGGTTCCCTAGTAGCTCCTCTCAGTATGGAACGTGTTAGGCATTTCCATTTGCCGCATTTTATTCAGCTTTGTTGCCGTCTGGATGTGTTAGTTCTCCCAAGCCCTCCAGTAAGGCCACTTTGAACTGAACTTAATTATGGTGCATCTTTGGCTTTCGCGATTAACCTCTCTTCAAACTCGCACTTCGCGGTTGTTAGTTGAAGTACTGTGCAAGAGGAACATCCTGGGAGAAAAGGGATTAAGAGTATCGAGGATGCTATTTCATAATGCGTTGATAGGCCGGCTGGTCGTCACGCAGAAGAAATTCTTCCTAAATGGATTGAGTAAAGCAAGTCCTTATACAGCATGTGCAAGAACACAAATTCAAGCTATAAGCACTTGTTACATGGCATCTAGTTCATCTAAAGGGATATGGGCACAGCTGTAAATCCATCAAGTTGCGTTTGAGTGTTGACTTAATGAGACAACACGACAAGAACAGCATGACATGTTTACTACCACAAGAGAAGATTAAAACCACTGTTGTGCAAACACAGCAGCGCAGATTTCGGTTGAAAAAGACTTTCAAGGCCAACCGTTATCACTTTGATGATTCAATGACAGCACCTTAGTGTTATATTGAAACTGGTACATCAATTCTCTTATCACTGCCAATGAGTAGACCTCTCATAGCTATCAAATTTCTGGATCTAACAGGGACAATGCATCTACCACACACGAAGGAATTACTGCTGTTGTGTACCCCGTCTCAAATCTGTTTACTGTGAATATTAAGTTCTTATATTACGCCTCTGCGTCTTCGTTTGTGTAACTACTATCTTATACACATGTTTTTGTGACTTACATCTCTGTGTTCGTCTACCTGTGTGATATCACCCCTCTGCTGAGGAAAAGCTGCATTAATTATCTTCATTCTGTGTTGATTTCAGACGGCTTGACTCGAAAATGTTTATTTTCGAATCATGTGATAGCCCCAAACTTTCCAGACGAATCATGAAAACAATCTCCTTGTATGTGTGTAACCATAGTACAATTTCATTCTGTTTATCAAATTATCACGCATGATGCCTTCAGGAGCCCTTTTGGCGGTGTGTCGCTTTGATGGACGAACCAGATCAAAATCTACTGCGTTAGAAATTGAACGCGGATATGTACTGCTCCTGTTGCACAAACTAAGTTTTGCAAAGACTATTTGAATTCCGAAAAATACTTGTGATGGCATTTTTGATGCGAACCGTGAAAAAGTTTGTTCCACGTAGATCCGGTTAATCCATCTGAAGATTACAAGGCCACGCTGTGAATGTTGACCGTTTCGTGATTGGCTTCATAACCAAATAATTATTTGAACGACTTAGCTAAAACAATTTCAGATTGGCCTTAATTGATAAGAGTCTTCTGGTAGTCCACGTTTTAATTCCCCAATCCACCTGAGCTTGAGTATCACGCCAATCTCATCAAGAATCTGGTGTACTCTGGTGTCACTCAATGAGGGCTTTCACAAACTTGATCATCATTTTCTATCCATATGACATTGACAGTGGAGATACAAAAAAGACGACGAATTTCGTGGATAATCAAGTGACTAGTACAACAGTTTATATCATGTTTGGTGGGAAGGTTGATTGCTGAGTCCTAAATCGCCCTCAGTGACCCGGTTTTTGTCGAACATGGGGATGAAACAAGACTGTCGGTTCACTGGCTTGATACCGTCCACACATATACACAAAAGCAGCTTTTTCACACGCCGGTCCTTCTCAGAGATCATCTAAGTTTCTGTAACCTATGATATCACTTGATACTCGCTGACCTCTTGTCGGATCAGATGAAAAATCATCACTTGCGGTGAACTCATTCGTTTTATACATGTGCGTACATTTAAAATTTTCCCCACCCTAACGACTGATTGCAGACAATGCTCATCATTTTGGCTTCAGAAACCGATTCAAACGGAACTGGAACATCGTCAT